TCCCTACACTCAAGGTCTCTATCACTGGTACCAACAGGCACTCAGTAACCACTAACTACTTAAATTAGTAAATACTGATGATTATCAGTAACTGTACACACACACACCCCTACGTTGGATTATGGACTGCCCCCATAACAGTGTTTCGGTCAGTGATGGACTACCTATGGATGGTCACAGAGCCTAGGTGTGTCGTAGGGTGTACCATCTAGGTTCGTTAAGTACACTCTGTGATGTTTGTCATCAACAAAATCTCCTAGTGGCATATTTCTCAGAATGTATTTCTGTTGCTAAGCTATGCCTGACTGTATTTGATTCTTTTGTGAAGACATCCATTCTCAAGATGGAATTGCCAGATCCAAAGTTACAAGCAGGTTTGTGCTTTTCTAACCAACTGCCAGACTGCTGTAGTGCTTATGTTTTATGTAAGCTGCACAACTACGATCACATTTGTGGTCCTTATTTATAACACTATCTTAAATAATTAACCAATTCAAGGAGTACTTCCTCTCCCCTTTTTTGGTGGGTATCAATATTCTTTGCATCCCAAACTCCAGTCATTTCCCTAGGGTCAATCAAATCAGTGCTTTGCACTCTGAATTTAGCCACAGAAAACGAAATGGGCTGCTTCAGCTCCCTACCCTTTGGCAGTTCAACATCAACCTTGTTGGGTTTTCCTGTGATGACGATGATGACGTGATGAGGATGATGGAGGAGGAGAAGAAAACTGTGACAACCCTGTGGGAATCTTATTAACCTCATTTGACAGTTGAGGAAAGGGAGGCTGAGAGAAGTGAGGTGACTTGCTTTCAGTCACACAGCTAGGAATTAGCAAAGACAGGAATTTCATCTGCTCCCATCTGACTCCATGCCAGGTCTCTTTCTACTAAACTACATTACACCACTCCCCAAGTGGACGTTCAGGGTCAGCCTTGTGGGAACAGCAGGTCTGTCAGGTTCTGCAGGGCCAAGCTATTTATCATTGCAAAGGACACTCATCACTGCACTAATTACATTAATTGCTGCCCACTCTGTGGCTAGGTGGGTGGCTTAACAACACCTAGCAACGTAGTAATGATGCCTGGGCCTGCCTTGCTGTGTGCAAACATCTAACTTTTTTTTTTTTTTAACTTCTTCCTGTGGTGGCCAAAGATAGTAATTATAGGTTCGCTTAGTTGGAAGTTAGTGACTCTCTACCCTGTAGGGGAAAGGTCAAGACTCTGAACTTTGCTCTTCATCAGCCTCATTGCTGGAAAGAAGAGGGAAGCTGAAGATCTATTAAACAACTGTGTGGCTTGACATTTTATCTCAGGGATCTTATCTTATAAGAGATAATATATAGAAGTAGGTATTAAATTATCCTTACTTTGTTTATAAGAGAACCCAGTCTCCTGCTTGGGAAGAGGTAGGAACAGGCATAAAGCTCAGGACTATGAGAGACAACTTTAGTTTTCACATACATCCCCACACCATAGCACCTGTCTATAGGGAGCATTTTCTTTCTGATGTTTGGAACTGAATTAGAGACCAGTCTGCATTTCCAGAGAATAAGCAGGGTCTTAGGAATTTGGGTTTCGTGGAGTTTCCTAATGGCTAAAGGATGAACATTTGAGATTTCATCTTTCCAACCTCCACCCCTTCCCTGAGCTTCTGAAGAAAATAAACAGTTTTTCCAGCTGATTTTTTTTTAAGTAATCTGAAGATTCCATCTGTATACCTGTTAGGAATGGACAAGATGACTTTGGCAATTCAACATAACTGAGTGAATGACTTAAATTCCAGAGACCGAGATAACAGGATAATTTGGGAAGCAATTGACTTTGGAATGTTGCATGTTTGTGTACCTTATGGGTGTGGCCATATCTATATGTGTAGGCATATATGTCAATAAATACGTGTGTGTTCTTCAGGAAATTTTAGGGTAGGAGTGGACTCAGATGACTTGGTTCCCATCATAACCTAGCATTTATCTGTAAGGGAGTTGAAATATATTCGATTGAAACTCTGAACAACTATGTATAAGAGGGTCTTCAGAGAGTTCATAAAAATAAATGATATGAAAAAAAAATCTATGCTTGGACATTTTGGTTCAAAATTATTTTGCACCAAAATAAACCATACTTTAATTCCATTTTCCACAAACTCTTTGAAGCCTCTGCATATAATGATACGAGGTAGTAGTTAAGATATGTAGAGCTAGACCAGGGTTTGAATCTTGACTCTGCCACTTACCAACTGTTAGGACTTGGGCAAGTTACTTAAGTTCTTTGGGTATGAATTTTCGCCTTTTTGTTTGTTTGTTTTTAGAGAGATTTTTGCTATAGGGTGCGAGTGCTCACCAGTGAAACACAGAGAAACAGAAAGTGAGAAATCATCCCCACCCTCCACCCCCAGGGGGATGACCACACTGCAATCCCTTCTCCTCTATTCTGTTTTAGGGATCTTGGGCACACACACACACACACACACACACATACATGTTCCTGGTGTGAGTTTCAAGCTGCCAGGTCCAGGACTCAAACTGCAGTCAGCCATGTGCTACTTAGCCATTATGTCTGTCCAGCGACATAACCATTATACCATCTGCCATTGTGCTATCTGCTGGTCCCAGTTTTCACATTTTTAAAAAAGTAGGATAATACCAGTTCTGACCTCTGGGAGTTCATGTCAGGGAGGTTTTCAGGGCAGGAACTATGTCTGTATACTTCTCTGTACCAGCACAAATGAGTCTTAAAAGAGGAGTCTTTGGACTTAGCTAATGCCTCTGCATCCCTACATTGGCTATGTGACCTTGGAGAAATTAGGTAACTTATCAGGGCCTCCAATTCCTCATCTGTATAATAAAGACTCATTACTCTTACCTCCAATGGTTGTTGTACGATGAAGTGGGAAACTGAAGACCCAGTACAGCAGATAACACAGAGGAAAGAGCTAGCAAAGCCTGGTCATTTCCTCCTTTTTTCCCATCCTAGAGTCTTAGTGTTCAATGATTGATGATTGGATTTTTGTTTGATATGAATACAAACAGGAATATTCTTTTTTCACTCCATTTTTTCGTCTCCTTCCCACCCCTTTTCTCACTTCCCTTTCTTCCTCCTTTTTGGTCAGCAATCATCCATTGCGATTGAAATCATCCGTCCAGGCCATTTTCCTCTGCCTCCTGACTGTTGCCCAGCTTTCTAACCAGCCCCTGCTGTTTTATTGTCTGCACAGAGCAGCCCTTCCAAATCCTAACCCAATCATGGTGCTCTCTGGGGCCCTCTGTTCAGTGAGCCTAGGAGGCTGTGTGTGAACTGTTTCCCAGCAAACTGTCTGCCCTTTCCCCCCCGCTCTTACTCTGCTCCAGCCCCAAGGCCTCCTGACTGTTACTGAAACTTTCCAAGCACATTCTTGGTTTGGACTCTTCGATACTTTTAACTCCCTTTTCCTCTCATTTCCTCAGGCCTTGGCCCACATGGCACCTTTTCAGA